ACACGAGCCTCACTCGTTTAAATATACGCCTATACCTCCTACGGCGCGGTTTAGCCCTACGGGCACCACTGGGACGGGCCAGCGTCCACCTTGAGGAGGGTATCGATCATAGGGGTGGAGGAGAGTGCACGGGGGACACGGCCCAACCGGCTGGGACATCTACCCAGTACGAGGGATGACAGTGGCGAATCCCGTTTGACTCTCCAAAGCCTCTCCCTCTCCGACTACGACATCTGAAGACTTCGCCGGCTCTCCGAGGGCACCACACCACAAATGGTGACCCCGACGTGATCCTACGAGATTCTGACAGCTCCGCCTCGGCAAGAATAGGTTCTACCCGAACCTGGCCTCCCATCGCCTCGGCAAGAATGGGCTCGTAATTGCCCGGCGGATTGACTGTGTGTGTGTGTGGCACTCGGGCCCGCGAGACCCGCCAGTGATTGCGCCGCGAGCGCACCAGTGACCGCACAGCGAGTGCGCTACAGTGACAGCGCAGCGAGCGCTCTGCGATTGCGCAGCGGGCGCCTCAGTGGTTGCACAGCGAGTGCACTCCAGTGACAGCGCAGCGAGCGCTCTGTGATTGCGCAGCGGGCGCCCCAGTGGCTGCACAGCGAGTGCGCGACGAGCGTTCACCTCCGCCACCATGCCCGACACTGCAGACTCGCGTCCGTCCGCAACGTTTCGCCTGCCCGCCTTCTCGCCGGAGGAAGCGGAACTCTGGCTGGTGCAGGTAGACTGCGCATTCGACGTCGCAAACATCACCGACAATGCGACCAAGTTTAAGCTGCTGGTAGCGAACCTACCGGTGCACGTAGCCTCCCAGGTACGTGACGTAGTGACGGCCACGCCGCCGTCCTTCACGGACCTGGTGACGGCGCTGCGGTCTCGGCTGGCGCAGTCTCGCGCGTCTCGCCTAGAGACCCTGCTCCGGGACCAGCAGTTAGGCGACCAGAAGCCCACCCAGCTGCTGCGTAACATGCAGCACATGCTGGGTAATTCAAGAGATGACACCGGCCTCCTGCGGACGCTCTTCCTCCAGCGCCTGCCGCAGACCACGCGCGCTGCCCTGGCCCTCCTGCCAGAATCGACCGGAATCGACGACCTCGCCAGCGCCGCAGACCGATTCCAGGAGGCGTCGCAAGGTGCCGTGGTGGCCGCCGCTGTGGCCCCGCCGGCCGCCGCTGTCGCTCCGCCGGCCAGCCACTCCTGTAACTGTCAGCAGTCGGCAGGGACGGATCTCACAGCTGCCGTGGCCGCTCTCACCGCGACCGTCGCGCGGATGGAGGCATCGTACAAGAGCCACCGCGCAGACGTTCGGCGACGCAGCAGGTCCCGCCCGGCACGCCGGCCAGCGACGCCCGGCACGGGCACGGCCCGCGCCGACACTCGGCAGCCGCCGGCAACGGACGGGCTGTGCTGGTATCACGAGCGGTTCGGCGCTGACGCCCACCAGTGCCGCCAGCCCTGCTCGTGGCAGGGAAACTAGCTCGCCTGTCTGCCCTCGCGCCAGCAAAGACGGGCGGCCCACCACTGGCGCCTCTGTTCTACGTTACCGACACGGTAAAGAACTGGAGGTTTCTGGTCGACACCGGCGCCCAGGTTAGCGTCCTGCCACCGGGTGTTCTGACGCCGGACGACCAAGTGACCGCCCAACGCGACGCACCACGACTGGAAGCCGCTAATGGCTCCGCCATCCAGCTCCACGGTGCCGTCGACGCCACCGTACGGCTCGGCGCACAGTCTCTCCAGTGGAAATTCCTGGTGGCAGATGTCTCCACACCAATCCTCGGCGCCGACTTCTTGGCCTTCCACCGACTCACCGTCGACATGCGCCGCCGGGTGCTGCGCTCCGACCAAGGCGTAACGTGCGTCGTCGGCTCTCCCGCTAGCGTCAGCTCCGTTGGCGTCCGGATGTGCGCGGAGAGTGATTATAGTGGCCTGCTGCGCGAATTTCCGCGCGTGACGTCTACCTCCACCCGGCTCCTACCCGTGCGGCACGGCGTGACGCACCATATCGTCACGCGGGGCCCCCCTCGCGTCGGGCGCCCCCGCCGCCTGCCGCCGGACCGGCTCCGCTTCGCTCGACACGAGTTCGAAAAGATGGTGGAGATCGGCGTCGCTCGCCCATCCAAAAGCAGCTGGGCCTCGCCGCTGCACCTGGCGCCGAAACCAACACCCGGACAGTGGCGACCGTGCGGCGACTACCGCGCACTCAACAAAGTAACTGTGCCCGACCGGTACCCGATACCGTTTCTTCAGGATTTCGCCGCGAATCTGCATGGCTGCACGGTCTTTACGAAGATAGACCTCGTGCGCGCGTACCATCAGATTCCGGTTGAACCTGCCGACATTCCGAAGACGGCGATCGTGACGCCCTTCGGCCTCTTCGAGATGTGCCGCATGAGCTTCGGGCTCCGCAACGCCGGCCAAACATTCCAGCGCTTCATGGACGAGGTGATGCGCGGCCTGACGTGCTGCTACGTGTACCTCGACGACATCCTGGTCGCCAGCACGTCCCACGAGGAACACCGCCGCCACGTCCGCCAAGTCCTGGAGCGCCTGGACAGGTTCGGCATCACCGTCAACCCGGAGAAGTGCGTGTTCGGCGCCAGCCGAATCAAGTTCCTGGGCCACGACGTATCACCGGACGGCATCGCCCCTCTGCCGGAGAAGGTCTCTGCGGTGAAGGACTTTCCGCAGCCCGCCACGCAGCGCCAGCTACGCCGCTTCATCGGTATGGTAACCCACTACCATCGTTTCCTGCCGGGTGCCGCCAGCCTCCTATGTCCGCTGCACCGTCTCCTGGACCACAAGCGCAAACGCGCTGCACCGCTGGAGTGGACACCAGACGCAGAGAACGCCTTCCAGCGCGTCAAAATCGCCCTGTCACAGGCCACCCAGCTCGCGCACCCCACGCCCGGGGCCGCGCTGAGTCTGCAGGCTGACGCCTCGGACACCGGGGTCGGCGCCGTGCTACAGCAGCACATCGACGGAGCCTGGAGCCCGCTGGCATTCTTCTCCAGGACGCTGAAACCGCCGGAGACCCGCTACAGTGCGTTCGGCCGTGAGCTGCTGGCCGTGTACCTGGCGGTGAAACACTTCCGGCACTCTCTTGAAGGCCGCCCCTTCACCATCTTCACCGACCACAAGGCACTTGTGTCGGCCATCGGCTCCGGCTCTGTCAGCTACTCGCCCAGGGAGATCAGGCATCTCGACTTCATCTGCCAGTTCTCAACAGACGTCCGTCACGTGCCGGGCAGCGAGAACGTGGTGGCCGACGCACTGTCCCGGACTGTCAGCATGCTGAAGTCGCCGACGCCGCCGCTTCAGGACTTCGAGGCACTCGCGGCAGCACAGCAGGAAGACGGCGAGCTGAAGGCGTACCTCGACACGCCCCACAGCCTGCAGGTGCGCGCCGTACCGCTCGCTGGAGGGAGCTCGCTCCTCTGCGACGAGTCGACCGGCTCACCGCGACCGCTCATCCCAACTGCCCTCCGACGGCACTACTTCCAGCTGCTGCACGGTCTGTCGCACCCCGGCGCCCGCGCGACACAGCAGCTCATCTCCAGCCGTTTCGTCTGGCCGGGACTGAGCAAGGACGTGCGCGACTGGACCCGCAGCTGTGTCGCCTGTCAGCGCTCCAAGGTCCACCGGCACACCCGCGCTCCGGTAGCAACATGGACGCCTCCCTCCGGTCGCTTCGAGGAAATTCACATCGACCTGGTAGGCCCGCTGCCGCCCAGCGAAGGTCAGACCTTCCTCCTCACCTGCGTGGACCGTTTCACCCGCTGGGTGGAGGCTATCCCTCTCCCTGACATCAAGACGCCCACTGTGGTGTCGCGAGCTGCTCCCCCCCTGCCCCGGGGCCTGGCGTCGCCAGGCCCCCAGGCAGGGGGGAGCAACTGGCGTCGCCAGGCCCCGGGGCAGGGGGGGAGCAGCTCGCGACACCACACCCTGCCGCCCTTAAAACGGAACACATTCACTTTGACCTGCCGCCCTTAAAACGGAACACATTTTAAACCGGAACGTGGAAACAAACACATTACGCGTCGGAACGTGGAAACAAACACATTACGCGTCGGAACGTGGAAACAAACACATTTTAAACCTCGGCGATCAGTCGCCTCGGGCACCTCCGGCGCCGAGCGGAACGGCGTTGCGAGGGGCCCTCAGTGTCCCCGCCGCCCCTGCCGCCGCCGTCACCGCCACCGCCGGTGTGACTGTAGCCGCTGAGGTCACCGGTATCACCGCCGCCGCCGAGGTCACCGGCACTACCGCCGCTGCTGACGGCATCACCGCCGCCGCTGAGGTCACCGGCACTACCGCCGCCGCCGGGGTCACCAGCACGGCCGTAGCCACCGGGGTCACCGGCATCCCCGCCGCCGCCGAGATCACCGGCACGGCCGAGGCCGACTGCTCCCCGGTCACAGGCCTGACCGGCGACGCCGGCGCGGCTGCCGTCACCGAGGCCATTGGCGCGATCGTCTCCGACAGGGCGCCCGGCGCTGCCGCCGGCGCCACCAGCCCGGTCACCGCCGGTCGTCGCTCTGACGTCACCGCCGGTCGTCGCTCTGACGTCACCGCCGGTCGTCGCTCTGACGTCACCGCCGGTCGTCGCTCTGACGTCACCGCCGGTCGTCGCTCTGACGTCACCACTGGTCGCCGCTCGGACACTACCGCCGGTGGCCGCTCTGACGTCACCGCCGACGCTGTTCCCTGGGTCCGCCGCCGCCGCCAACAGCTGGTCAACGTGGCGCGACCAGATCACGTGTCCCACGTCCACTTCATACGACACGGGACCGGGGCGGGCGACCACCGTGCCGCGGACCCACTTCTGACGACCGTCATACGAGCGGGCCCACACTGTAGCTCCCACGGCGAATTCCCTGCTCCGTCCGCCGGCCGTCTCACGCTGCCGGTCCCGAGCCGCCTGCAGAGCTGTCTCGGCGCTCGGAACCATGAGGTTCATACGAGTGCGGAGGTTCCGCCCGAACAGCATCTCAGCGGGAGTCCGTGCGGTCGCGGCGTGGGGCGTCACTCTGTACGCCATCAGAACTCGGGCGAGCGCCAGTTCCATGCCTCCGCTGTCGTCTGCTGCCAGAGTCGCCTTCAGTGAGTTTTTTAGCGAGCCGACCGCTCGCTCCGCCATCCCATTAGACGATGGGTGATGGGGCGCCACTCTGACATGTCGGATCCCGTTATAGCTGGCGAACTGGGCGAATTCCTGGCTCGTGAACTGTGGGCCATTGTCCGTTACCAGCACCAGTGGTAGTCCGAGACGAGCAAAAACCGTCCTCATCACCGCTACGGTCCGCTCGGACGTGGTCGTCTTCATTGGGATCATTTCAGCCCACTTGGAGAAACTATCCACCATCACCAGGAACCAGGTGCCCTTCAGAGGTCCGGCAAAATCGGCATGCACCCGCTGCCACGGGCCGTCCGTCGGCTCCCACGGGTGCCGTGTCGCCTGCGGCGGCTCAGCTCGCTTTGAGACGCACGCCTGACACCCGCGAGCCAGCGCCTCCAGCTCAGCATCGAGTCCCGGCCACCACACAAAGCGCCTCGCCAGCTGCTTCATGCGAGTGCAGCCGAAGTGACCCTCATGCAGCTCCCGCTTGACGGTGTCGCGCAGGTTGCTCGGGATGACGACTCGGCCGCCCCAGAGCAGACAGTCGGCCTCAGTCGTCAGCTCCTCTCGGCGATTCTTGAAGGGAGCCAGGTCCGGGTCCACCACCGCCGGCCAGCCCGATCGCACCGCCGCCAGAGCGCGGGCGAGCGCCGGGTCTCGGCGCGTGGCCACTGCTATCTGCTGCGCGGTCAGACACGGCCCCTGCTCGGCGATGAACATTACGCCGCCTCCGCCGTACGCCGCCTCCTCTTCTGCCGACAGCCGGTTCTCCGCCTCGTCCGGCACCGACAGACGGGACATCGTGTCCGCCAGCCTCATGTCCTCCGTCCGGCGCAGCTCGATCTTGTACTGATACGCCGCGAGCTGCAGCGCATACCTTTGCATGCGAGCCGCCGCCAGAGATGGCAGCTCACGGTCCGGGTTTAGGATCCTGGAGAGCGTCCTGTTGTCGACCACCAGGGTGAACGGCCGACCAAACAGGAACTGGTGGAACCGCCGCACTCCGAACGAGACGGCTGCGGCTTCCCTCTCCACTTGGGCGTACTTCCTCTCCGTCGGAGTGAGCGTTCGGGAGGCGTACTGTACCGGCCTCTCGAGCCCCTCGGGCGTCACTTGCATCAGAGCCGCTCCGACTCCTGTCGCACTGGCGTCCGTGACGAGCCGCAGCGGCAGCACGGGGTCGTACCGCATCAGGACCGGCGCCGTGGACAGCATGTCCTTCACACGGCGCACTGCCGCGGCGCACTCCGCCGTCCATGCCCATTTGACGCCCGTCTTCAGTAGCGCGTAGAGCGGCGCTAGCACGGTAGACAGGTTGGGCAGCAGCCGCTGATAATAGCTGACTGACCCGATCAGAGATCGCAGCTCCTGCACGTTCCGAGGGTCAGGTGCTGCTGTGACGGCCGCCGTCTTCTCTTGCACCGGGCGCAGACCCGCCTCAGACAGTCGCCAACCGAGATACACCACTTCTCGGACTCCGAACTGGCACTTCTCTTTCTTGAGGCGGACGCCGTTGTCCTTCAGCCGCTCCAGCACCCGGTCCAGCCTGTCCATCAGCTCACGGTCACTGTCGGCGCCGATCAGCACGTCGTCCAGGTAACAGACGACTCCTGGAAGACCATCCAGCACCTGGTCCATGATCGCCTGGAACTGCGCTCCACAGGTGCTGATCCCGTACGGGAGACGGTTCATCCGCAACGCCAGTTGCTCCCCCCTGCCTGGGGGCCTGGCGACGCCATTGGCGGCGCCGGCGCGCAGACGCGGGGTTCGAGAGCAGTCGGCCGCCGGCCCGCGCGGAGCGCGGTTGTGGTAGTAGCGATCGGTGTTTGGCGCTCTAGGGAGTTTAACGCAATGCGGCTTTGGTTGTGAATAAAGAGCTCACGTTATAACACCCACCGTCGCCAATGCATTCGTGTCCGGCTGGATCGCACGCTTCGGCGTGCCGACACGTGTCACCACCGACAGAGGTTCGCAGTTCGAGTCGCACCTCTGGCAAGAACTGTCTGCCATCCTCGGCTGCACCCGCCACCGGACCACCAGCTACCACCCGCAAGCAAACGGACTCGTCGAGCGGGTGCATCGCCAGCTGAAGGCAGCCCTCCGGGCCCACGGGAACGAACGCTGGACCCGCTCGCTCCCGCTGGTGTTACTCGGCGTCCGTTCAGCCGTCAAGACGGACCTGGACTGCACAGCCGCGGAACTGGTGTACGGCCAGCCACTCCGCCTGCCGGCCGAGTTCCTCGGCGACGCGCCGACCGCCGCCGTCACGGACCCAGCCTCGTACGCCACTGAGCTCCGCCGCTACATGCGGGACCTGACGCCAGTGGTGCCGCGCGCCTCGGCCACTCACCGGCCGAGCTTCGTGCCGCAGACACTCCGGGACGCGTCTCATGTGTTCGTTCGACGAGAGGCGCGACCCTCGCTGGCGTGCCCGTACGACGGGCCGTACCGAGTGCAGCAGTGCGGTGACAAAACTGTGCGCATCTTGCGAAACGGCCGCGAGGAAACAGTGTCCATCGACCGCGTCAAGCCGGCCTTCGTAGAGCCGCCTGACGCCCCGGCCGCGGCGGCCGACTGCGGCCCCGTCAGCCGACCTTCGAACTCGGCGGTGCCGGCCGCTGGGCCGCGGCTCCTCCTGCCGCCGCTTCGCCCTGAGCCGCCACCGCCGCCGCCCCCGCCGCCGCCCCCGCCGCCACCGCTACGACCGTGTCTCCGCACGACACGATCCGGCCGTGTTGTGCGCCCACCAGCGCGTTTTCTCCACGTCGCGTTCCACAGCGACGTGTCTGGGGGGAGGGTGGTGTAGCGACAGCTGCGCCACCTCGCTTGCTCAGTCTGCCCCTGGCGGCAGACCGCGAAGCTCTACTTGCGCCGCTACACACAGATGTCACTTTTACTTTCACCGTTACTACCAATGTTCTCCGTGGCTCAACAATGTAAAGCCAAACTGTTCAGTTCCGTTGTTCAACTGGTCTCTTTGATCGACACGAGCCTCACTCGTTTAAATATACGCCTATACCTCCTACGGCGCGGTTTAGCCCTACGGGCACCACTGGGACGGGCCAGCGTCCACCTTGAGGAGGGTATCGATCATAGGGGTGGAGGAGAGTGCACGGGGGACACGGCCCAACCGGCTGGGACATCTACCCAGTACGAGGGATGACAGTGGCGAATCCCGTTTGACTCTCCAAAGCCTCTCCCTCTCCGACTACGACATCTGAAGACTTCGCCGGCTCTCCGAGGGCACCACACCACAGTAGGCGGAATGTTAAGAATAAAAAATCCCTTGCCCTCTTCAGCCACCAGTGGCTAGCTATGAAACAAGTTCACTGGCGGTCCCAGGGGGGGGCCACGGGGGCCATGGCCCCCCCTTTGGTGCTGAAAGGTGGGGCCATACTATCTTTTGGCCCCACCTTTCAGATCGAACAAAAGTCCTAGAAAAGCTTTTTGTATGTTTCATTTTCTTTGTTGCGCCATCAAAGGACGTAAATTTCACTCATGAGTGGGCTCAGTTTCGTATTCTGTCAATTTGGCGGTCAGCGTCGCTGGCACCGGTTCACGAGTATGGCCGCATCTTACATGGAATATCAGCGTGGGTTTACTTGAGGCTCTCGTAGGCCCAGCAATGGCTGGCATGAGACCTCTTCGGCAGTGGCGGGTGGGCCATGCCAAAGGAGCGTGGCTCTAAGACACTAAAGTAAGACCTCTTGGGTCGGTGCTGTGCACCTCAGAAGCCCGGTGGTGACGCCGTATGCCGGCTTGGTTTCTTAAGGATTAGCGTGGGATCTCCGGGGCCTGCGTAGAGTTTGCATTAGCTAGTATGTAATTTCAGAGGCCTGTATGTAATGTGTACACAGTGGCGGTCGCGGGGGGCATCAGGGCCATGCCCTCCCAAGGCACATAAAGGGGCCATCATATCATTTGCCCCCCCCCCCTCAAGCAACCGATGGGCCCCCATAGGTGTATGGGACCCTGGCCCTGATTCGATCGTCACGAGGCTAAAAAACACGCCCACACCGGTCTTTGAGCGTCCAACAATGACCTCTGAGGGAACTTCAGTGGCGGTCAAGCGCCCACGTTGACCGCTAAGAGCCCACATCGACCTCTGAGGCCCCACATCTGACCTATGAGGACCCCTTACCGGCCTCAGGGGCCCCAACCGGCGTCTGAGGGTCTCACACCGGTCTCTAGTGGCCTTATTGCTGTCTCTGGTGTCCCAAGACGAACATTTAGGTGCCAATGAGGGCCCCGCATTGGCTGCTGAAGACCCGATGCTGGCCTCTAAGGGCCTGCATTGGTCTCTGAGGAGGGCTCATCTTGGCCTTTGAGGGCCCTCTGCTGGCCTCTAGGTTCCAACGACGGCTCATTCCGGTCTTTTAGGGCCCCACGCTGACCTCTGAGGGCCCCATGTTGGCCTGTAATGAGTAGGACCCACATAAGCCTCCGAGACCCCAACTCGGTCTCTGATGGTCTCAAACTACTGGCCTTTGCAGTTTGCAGGCCCTGTACTGGTCTCTGAGGGCCCTAAACTGGCCTCTAAGTGAAAACATACATGGGTGGGCTTCTGAAGATCACAGGGCTCACGCAGACTCCTGCACAGCCGTACGTTGGTCTTGATCGAGATTACTTTACGTCCTGATGGTCCCGCGCAGATTCCCTCATATTTCGACGTCGGGACCCCATGAGCCGGTGTGGGTCCTGGGGCTGGCAGAGACTGGTGAAGTCCTTAGGGCTCAGGGCAAGTCTTTTTAGCAGTAGGACTATAAGGCAGGTTGAGTGAGCCCCAATAGAGCCGTTGCGAGGCCCCGCGCGAGTCGTGCGCGGCCCTCAGATGCCAATTTTGAAAACCAAGAAGCTGTGGGGCCGGGGGTCTCCAGAGGTCGGTGTACCTATTCTCTCCCGCCGCCAAAGAACTATATGGGTAAATGTCATAGTCTGAAAATGATCTCTGGGTTTCACATGCATGTTCAAAGCAAGAGGTATCCGTACTTTTCCGAATTGTTTTATTGTGGTAAGGTCATGAATCCGCGTGCCCGACCTTCCAGTATATGCTACACCGATCCGTCGCCATGGTGCAGTGGCCCGACCGGTGGAAACACCGTGGGACGGGAAGTGGAACTGGTGCTTTTGCCTTAAATTGAGCTTAAAGATTTCACGCAAGAATGAGGTGGATGAAGCATAAGTAATGCCAACTGCGCGGCGCCTCGTGGACGTAAAAAATTAGCCGATCCCCCCCCCCCCCCCCGGTGACTGATAAATGTTATGTCCCGCGAGTGTGACTTTGGCCCCCCCTTTTGCGAGCGGCTGCGACCGCCAGTGAACAAGTTATGTATTTAAGCAAGTTTATCATAGGTGCAAGGCTAGCAACATGTGCAAGACACTATTTTATAAAAGTTTGGCTTACTTTTTATTAAATGTTCCTACTTGCAAAACACCTTCTTTATAGGCTCAAAATAAACAAAGTGTGATTTTCCGCGTAGTGGAGCCTGGGTTTAATGACAACAATAATGTCACGTGCTTCAGGATGACAAGCAAAAAACGATATCACGCAAAAACCGACAAATTGCAAAACCGATTTCACCAAGGCGATTTCACGCAAAAACCGATGTCTCGGATAAAACGCGCGTAAAAAAACGCGTAGTGGAGCCCGGCCTTTACCCAGCGGCCTATGAAAAAAAGGTGAAATTTTTATTTTGTCAGAAGTGCGCAGGTTTCGCTGCAGCAATCGAAAGTGAAATTTGTGTTCAAATAACTGATAAACTGATAGTGCAAGCAGCTTTGTGCTCTTTCCAAGCAATCAGAAGCTGAAACTGCTATTTTTGTCGAATCAAAATCCAGGAAGTTACGTAACACTCTTATTCGAAACAGGCTATAATTCTCACATTATCTTCATGTGATTAGTTAGGAGCTGTTTTTCGAAACATTTGCATCGTGGCGTTGCAAGTGTTTTTATATACCTTGCGTTGCATCGTGTGCCGGGTGAATAATTCAAAGGTAAGGTGAATTGTTGCGGATAGGTAAGACCTCTGCATTTTTGAGGGTCCCAATGACCCTACCATTTGTTTTAATTACCTATCACAGTTCAGTCGTGTGAGTCTTGGTATTTTTGGGTAGGTATTTTATCAAAATGAAAGATAAGGAGCTCCTCAGGATCCTTTGTCTCATTTTGGTCCAGACTGGAAAAAATACACGTCATGCCGAATATGTCCGGCGTAGTGGTGGGATTGCGCCGAAAATTTCAGCGCATGTTCGGCGTAACTTTGCAGCCATGCGCCGAATCCAGCGCATGACAGCGGACAAATTTTTTGGCGCAGTGCGGTCGCAGAATCTTTTGGCGAAAGATGGTCACCAAATTTATGCGATACGCTGGTCAATCTAGCAGCAGATTCGCCCCGTGGGCAGCTCTGGAGAGGTTGCGGGACGAGATGTCCCCGCCCCGGTCGTCCCGTGCTCGAACTGGCGAGTCGCCCTGAGTCTACTCAGCCGAGGAACGGCCGCCCAGGTCAGACATCAACCTTCGGCATAGAGATAGGTACGGAAAACCTTGTTGAATGTCGCAAAGCGTCGTTAAGCAATAGCAGTGGTTTCCTGCCCACTGCAGTATCGAGGGGAATGAGAGCGCAGACGACCTGGCAAAACAGGCGGCCGCCCTGCCCTCAAACGCCCGATCGCTGACCAGGGCGGTTCTTATTGTGCGGCCTCGCATCAGTGGCGCGACAACTGCTTAGAATCACTATTCAAGCCACTCCTCGGGAGCACGCCGCCGCTCCCTATCCCCGGAGAGGACCGAGAGGATGCCATTTTGGTGCACCAGATGAGGGCGGGCCACCGGAGCCGCTCGCTCCAGTACGGCAGCGAATCGGCTGTCTCCACTCCGCCGCGTGCCAGCACTTGCAGTGCCCAGACAAGCGGTGCCCAGCGGCGGTTGCGGCGCTTTGCACCGTGAGCCGAGAAGAGGCTGATGTGCCGGAGCACGTGCTGCTCCGCTGCCCGGCCCTCGCTGGCTCCCGCCTAGGTATTGGGTTTACGTGGAAATAAAAAACTCATTCGGACGCTCAAACACGGGAGAACATACAAGGCCCTGAAACACTGTCTTGTTGATATAGCCTTGATCAGTAGATTGCTTTATATGAAAAAGAGCTCAATTTTCGCACAAATAGGCACCTAATTTTTCGCGCAAATCACGCAGAAATTTCGGCGCAAAATCGCTTGCGCCGAATTTAGGCGCAAGAGGGTCTCACGGGCGTCCGGCGTAGTGTATGGATGTTTTCCAGTCTGGATTTTGGTACAGCCTTGGATGTGTTGTAAAAAAATATGTTCTTTGTGGTAGAATTACCAAGCATCAATATCTCTTCATTGGCTCTAGTAGATTTTGCTGAGCAGCTGCCTTGATCATGATGTTATCAGTTATGGTAGTCACCTATGACATATTTGATAAGAAATCATGCTTGAGGCCACTTGCAGAAATAAAGTTAGTTGTAAAGCAGGCGTCATACTTCCGTGTATATGGCTAGGAATCCAGAGCCAACACGAGACCAAATAGGCAATCATTTCAATTTGGTGACTGGTGTGAGAGTCTTCAATAAGTGGTACAGCTTACCTCCAGTGGTAATTGATATTGCTTCTGTTGAGCAGTTCAAATTGAGATCATGTGTGGGAGAAACTGCATTGCTCCCACGCACTGCATTCCTGCATAAGGCTCTGATTTCGGAACCAGAATTTTTTTCTTAGGGTGATCATAGAGCAGTAAATGCAATTGTGCTAGTTTCAGCACATGCTACAAAACTGCTATCCCAGTTCTAAATCCTATATTTAAAGTGGTATATTTCCCTTAAGTGGCCTCTAATTTCTGATAGATGTAGGGTATTGCTGCATGCTTCTTTTACACTGTGGTCGACATTTCTGTCATTTCAGAACAACTGTATTTGAGAGTGAAAGATGGCTCTACTAATTGGGCATGTCCGACGACTGCTGCTGAACCAGGCGACCCGGAAATCCCTGGGAGAAGCAAAAAGCAGGGCTATCTGCATTTCTGCCTTCAGTGAGTAGCAGTAGCTGGTATTTGTGGATGTTGTGATGAAATAAAGGGACTATGTGTGCACTGTTAAATGCGGTTTTTATTAATGATAGTTATTGTTAGTCCTTAGAGTCTGTCTCAGATATCTAGGAAAGATATAAAGCATACTTTGTCTCATAGAAATAAGTGTATGATGAAAGTCATTCAGTAATTAATCTTAGGTGTTTAGTTCCTTTAGTGGGCAATGTTGTGTTTTGTGGGGCTATACTGACCTCAGAGTTTTCAGTTGAACATTTCCTGTGTCTTTGCTCCTACCATTTTTCTATCTAAAATATGTTTAATTTATCTCATTACAGACTGATTGACAGATGAATCATTGCTCATGTATCGTCTAACCCAATTTTAATATTGATTTTTGTTTTCTGTTACAGGTCCCGCTAAAAGTGCAGCTGCAAAGAAGCCCGATGAGCTGGAGCTGCGACCTTTGTATCTGGATGCCCAATCGACGACACCGATGGTACGGGGGGCGCTGATTCAAGGGGCGCTGGGCGCTGTGTTACGTAACAATCCCACATAGCCGAGATATCAATTAACCATGCGTTGCCGGTTCTGACGTGAAATAATAGACGTGATAAAATAGACGTGAAACTCCACATTCCACAATGGACCAATTTTTGAGCAGGAGGTCGTAAAACGACGGGATGTAGGTTCTCAGATAGATATAGGTAACAGAGGTTTTAACAAAGTTACGGTAAAAAGTGTGTGCCGTTTGTGTGCATTCTAAGTTGACGGCCTCGTCCAGGATGACCCCATTGTGCCTCATCCACATAATGGGGCACATGGATCAGCCCGGTGAGCCAGAGACACTATACCACAATTCTGCACCAGCCATTGTCTCATGCAGGTTCTCTGGGACTCTTGGGCCGTGATCATTAGATGCTTACTTTGCCTCTGCTTTATTTGTTCTCCTCTGGTTGCTGCATTAGTTCATTAATTGTGCATTGTGTCTGTTTTTTCCAGGACCCACGAGTGATGGACGCCATGTTGCCCTATTTGACTGGTTGCTATGGCAACCCTCACTCGCGGACGCACGCCTACGGCTGGGAGAGTGAGGCCGCCGTGGAGAAGGCCCGCGCGGTGAGTGTTATGCGTCCTGCTCGCCGACTCGCCCGGCCGGCCGCCGGTTGTGCGCCGTCACCGCTGTTTGAACAGTCACGCCGGGCCAGTGTATGACACCGTCACCGCTGTTACAACAGTCACGCTCGGCCAGCCTCGGTTTTCGACAGTTCTGTTTGAACTGGTCCAGTGCCGTCGGCTCCGCGGTTAAGGACTCGCGTGACTCAGTGTTATTTGTGGTGCCAAATTACTGCGATAGTGACTGGAGGGCTAACGTATCCTCCATACTGACCTCGTTTACTTAGAAAGCTCGTGAAATGCATAAACTATGTCGGAAGCATTTTAGTTTATTTTTCGCCTCAGGTAAACGGTTTGGTCGTCAGAGGTCATGAGATTCACCGGCAGTTATTTGAGTATGTCGCCTTTAAGTTACGATTTTCCTCTGCTCGCGCGGTAGATGGTGGCCGACCTGGTGGGAGCCGACCCGAAGGAGATCATCTTCACCTCCGGCGCCACCGAGTCTAACAACATCGCCGTCAAGGGCGTCGCCAAGTTCTACCGCTCCAAGAAGAACCACGTCATCACCACTCAGACGGTAATTTACACCTTGCAGTGTTTCATGCTGCGTGGTTGATTTGAGGATGTCCGGTTGCGGGCTCGGTATCTCTCCTTGGTGAGCTGGGTATTTCCCCTTTTGCGATGCAAGTGTTTGGGTGACGTGATGTTTTGGTTTTCACTAGGATACGACTGCAGTGTTTTTGCGCAATGGCCACATCCCTTGTGAAATGAATAAGTCCCCAGCTGTCATATGGGTACCTCCCCTCTTTCATTCTTCCGTATGATGCCATCTTATGTGCTGACACGTGGCACATCCCCGTGACGTGCCCGTACCCACCCTCCATGACCCCCCTGTGTCCCCGACCAGGAGCACAAGTGTGTACTGGACTCGTGTCGACACCTGGAGATGGAGGGTTTTCGCGTCACCTACCTGCCCGTGCAGTCGAACGGGCTGGTGGAGCTGTCGCAGCTGGAGCGGGCCATCACGCCGCAGACCGTCCTCTGCTCCGTGATGACTGTTAACAACGAGATCGGCGTCCGGCAGCCGGTCGAGGACATCGGTACGACACGACGTGTCTGTCTCTTCAATGTGCTGTCTACCACCATAGACATTATTACATACATTAGTAATAATATAGTCAATGACAATGGTATATCCTAATATAACAGTAGTACGCCAGTCTGTCCTGCTGTTTTCACATCTCTGTACCATCGGTCTCTGTTAGGCGCTCAATGACCCCGCCGTCGACGTGTCAAGAGACCCCAAACAAACAAACAAACAAACAAACAAACAAACAAACAAATAAACCAGTAGTATGTCCCGCCGTTGTGTGCGCCTTCGTCAGTCGTCAATCGCCACGAATCACGACTGACACTCTGTGTGGCCTGGTTCGCTCACCCCTTCTGCACTCTACAGGCCGCATCTGTCGCGAGCACAAAGTCTTCTTCCACACGGACGCTGCCCAGGCCGTCGGAAAGATCCCGGTCGACGTGAACGACATGAACATCGATCTGATGTCCATCAGCGGCCACAAGATTTACGGCCCCAAAGGTGCGTCATGTCGGGGATGTCGGGTGACCGAGTGAGTCTGGTGGGTACTCTACTCACTTAGGCTGGTCTCAGAGCGGCGCTGTTGGTGAACGGAATCTAGCTGTGGTTTAGGTTAGGGAAACCTGGTGATGCTTTGGACTACGTTCGCTTGTTGGGCTGGTAATAAGAAGCGTTTTCGTGATAGCTCTGGCGTTGTCGTTGTCTACATCATAGTCAGGGGAAGGAGGCCCAATTTTTGGGCCGAATAACGCAAAATTGGGTAGAGCTTAGCAAAGGGTGGTTTCTGGGACAAAAATGACCGCTGAACCCGAATCTGACCGGTGCGCACCTCTAACTAATGTTGCACCACTTCCAGAGCACGTGCAACTGCGTGGTTCTCCTTCCCCTGACTATCAGTGTCTGAATTTTGCTACTTTCTCACTGCAGTATACGCGGTACGATCGTTTTCCACAGCCTGTCGCTTCGTTTCCACCCTTCCGCACTGTCCGCCGCCTCTGAGCGCGCGCCTTGGACTGCCTGACCTGTTTTGCGGCCTGTGTACTGTGCGTGTCTTATCTCGCCTCGGCCGAAGCCCGGTCCCCTCTCCCTGGACCCGGGTCGTCAACCGCGCCACGACTCGGGTCTCCTCCCACCCCTCTGCCCCTCCCTCCCTCCTCGTGCTGGCCATCCTCCGCTCCCTCTATTCGCGCCCCAAATCAAGCTAATAGGTGGGCCCTGTTACTGATTAGGGTGTCTCATACCGTACGCTCCCCAGATCTGTTGTCCAGTATTGGCTGTTAATGGCCGTCTGCACCCAAATCGCGTTATCATTCATATCATGATCGATAACAAGACGCCAAACTGCTCAAGTTGGGTTTGATTCGCATTGTTACAGTGCCAACGTTTTTCGACTCCATTGTGTTCACATCTCTTGGTATCCTTTGTTTATTTTTTGTCTGCTTGTGTTGTATACGTTTCTGAGTTAGCTTGTCCGTTAGTCTGTGTGCCTCTGTTGACCATCCATTGACCATCCATTGACCGTCCGTTGACCGTCTGCTGACCGTCCATTGACCGTCCGTTAACCATCCATTGACCATCCGCTGATCATCCCTCCACCCTCCGCCAGGTGTGGGCGCCCTGTACGTGCGGCGCCGTCCGCGCGTCCGTCTGGAGGCGATCCAGTCTGGCGGCGGTCAGGAGCGCGGTATGCGTTCAGGGACCGTGCCCACGCCGCTGGTGGTGGGTCTGGGCGCTGCCTGTGAGCTGGCCAAACAGGAGATGGAGGTGAGAGGCTGGGCGGCCGCCCCCCCCCCCCGCGGTCCCTGGTCCCCGCTCGACCCGCGCCAGCTGTCCTTTCATCGGTCTTTTCGCTGCCGTCTCACTTTAGTTAGCGGCTCCTCCGAGCGGCCTGCTGTCCCCCAGCCCCGGCCGCGCCAGCCGTCTGTCTGCCCGTCCCACGACTGTGACTCGCACACTAAAGTGAAGCTCGCGTCTTCCTTACGTCTGGTGTGGGTCGGTCGGCCGTCTTTGCACAGCAGTTTACAGTGGCTGTGCTGCGAACTTTCTCAGTGGCCATCAGTGACTTGTGTCCCCATAGGTCAGCCCCACAGGTCATATCTAGACCATGAGGTCAGTGTACCTCCCCGCGCTGCAGTGATGGAACTTGATGTCACTTCCGCCAATAATACTGCTATGAAAGTCGATATTCAGCTGATACGGACTGGGCAGGAATTGAGCTGAAATTTCCGGCCGTCGTAGAATACCCTCCCCCTACCCTACCCTACCCTGCCCTGCCCTGCCCGTCGCTGCCCTGCCCTGCCACTTCCATCCCCTGCGCTTTCTCCTGCCCTGTCCAGCCCAGCCCCTCCCTTCTCCTGCCCTGTCCAGCCCAGCCCCTCCCCTCTCCTGCCCTGTCCAGCCAAGCCCCTCCCCCTCCTGTCCTGTCCAGCCCAGCCCCTCCCCTCTCCTGCCCTGTCCAGCCAAGCCCCTCCCTTCCCCTGCCCAGCCATGAGAGACTGCGCCGACGCCGTCGAATTCAGAGTGCGTCAATTCAGCGGTAGATAAGGCCGGGTTACTGACCGACTGGAGCCGCTATCGACCACACACCGGTTCGAGAACTGGCGGTCCAGGTCGCGACGATTCACCTAGAGTTCACCGTCGCATACAGCTGCAGAATTTACGCTGCTCTCTAAGAATGTGCTAGATTCGCACCCTCATCGATGTGGTGGAGTTATATGATTCGAGGCCACTGCGAGGTCCATTTTGAACAATGGAAAAATGGCTACAAGGCGAAGTATGTTAGCAGGATATTAAATCTTAAAGCTCTTTTACAGAATATCTGATTAGTTCACTTAAACTAGCTAACTCGCAATGGGTTGTAAGTCCCGGAATGCCACGGGTTGCTGGAAGGAGCGTCAAAGGAAGCGGAACCGGATATGATGCTGTTCCGCCGCCGGAGCTGGGCATCTGTTCCCCTGTTGCGGTGCCGGACGTGATGTTACCCCTGTGGTTGTTGAAACCGGTTATGATGCTGTCCCTGCGGCCGGAACCGGCTAGGTATGATGCTGTCTTTGCGGCCGGAACCGGTGCCCACTCGTTGGCTTGGGTGGTCAGACGTATGTAAGGCTGTGACACACGGACGGACAAATAGGTAGAGGAAGAGAAACAGAAACATGTACCGGTAGAGATCAGCCTTTAATATGGCAGTGCGAACTGTAGCCTCTATGTCAGCAAATGAAAATTCACATACATAGATTGTGGCATATAACTAATACTGCCATTGGTTTCATTTTCTCTTTCTTTATTCAAGCAAGCAGCCATGAATGAAGTTAAACACACGGTTGAGTATCACATACAAACTTTCACAAATGGTACTCATTCTGGCATTTGATGATTCGAAGATGATGACAATAACACAGAGCTAGGTTGGCGAGCCTCACTGTCGCAGAGTGTAGTCCGCCGCCGTACCGGTCGGATGATGTAATGCGGAGCCGTGCGGACCGGGGACGGACGTCCACCGGTGCCAGCGCTGCGCTCCCGTGTGTCAGGCCAGCGCGCGTCTGAGGCCGACCGCTACTGCCAGCTGAGCGACGATCCCGGCGGCCACGGAGAGCCGGCCGGCCGCCGAGTCGGGTAGGGTCCGCAGCCGCCCACCTCCACACTCCTCTTGGTAGAACTCGGCGACCCGGCGCTCCTCCTCGCCTCCCGCGCACTGGGCCGTCTCGGCGAACGGCGGCGACTCGGTCAGCCAGGGGCGCAGCAGCTCGCACCGGCACTGCAGCCTGGTACCAGTCACCTGGTCGGGGCGCGGTGCCGGTGTCACCGGAGCCGCTGCGGCGCCCTCCACCAGGTTATCGGTAAACTGGAGCGCGCTGGGCACGCCAGTGGTGAAGTGTAGCAGTCCGGTGGTGCTGCTGCTGTCTGGCGCCATACGGAAGGTGTTGTTGATGAAGGTCAGATCGGCGGGCGGCAGGAGGTCCGGAGGGGGCGCCGAGTCCTGCAGCACCGCCTCTGCCTCCGCCTCCGCCACAGTGCTGCCCGTCCAGCGCAGCTCCACGAGCCCGACCGTGGAGAGCGCCGCCCGCCGCAGATGCGCCACGTGCGAGTCGACCACGTGCACCAGCACGCCGCCCACGTGCGCCCCGGCGGACCACTCGTCCACGTGGGACCGCAGCAGGCGCAGACCGGCCAGCGGACTGTCGGCTGAGGACGTGCCGACCGGCAGCTGGAAGGCCCCCCGCGCGATACGGCCCACACGAGAGTCGGTGATTCGTACCTCAGGCGCCACCAGGGTCTGGTGGAACGCTCCGGCGGCGATCTCTCCGATCTCCACGCTGTCGAAGGTGGCGTTCACGGACAGCCGCTGAGAGAACAGGGCGCCGGTGATTCTCGGCACGGAGACCCGCTCGAAGTGCGCCTCCACGCTGCTGAACCGGAGCGCTCCCGGCCGTCCGCCGTCCGGCCGCTCCGGCAGCACCAGGTGGTCCGTGTCGCGCACCTCCAGTGAGATGGAGGAGAAGCGGGAGTCGGCGGCGGTCAGCAGCTCGGCAGAGAGACGCACCGCGCGGCGACAGCCGAGCAGCGCGATCTGGAGACCGTCGGCGGCGCGGCCGGCCGGCGGCAGCAGCTGTGGCGTCAGAACCACATCCTGCGGGCGGCGCAAACGGCGTCACACAGTCGTACAGTGTCACAAGGCAATACAGTGTCACACAGTAGTATATACAGTGTCACACAGCAGCTGCGGCGTCAGGACCACCTCCTGGAGCGGCGTAAACGGCGTCACACAGTCGCACAGTGTCACGCAACAGCTGCGGGATCACATAGCAATTATACAGTGTCACACAATAGTACAATGTCACACAGCAGCTGCGGCGTCAGAACCACCTCCTAGAGCCGGTGCAAACGGCGTCACGTTCAGCGGGCCGGCACAAACAACGTCACGTTCATCATTACGGTATTACACATAGCTGCATTGCAGTGTCACACATACCACTAAACGGACATGCCATTACAGTGTCACACATAGCCCGACAACGCCAGCGTTGTAGGCGGAGCTTAGTGATGTCATTTTTCATTGGAAATGTCAGAGAATGGCATTGTGAGCAGGCGCGCACACAGGATTTTTGAATGGGGGGGGGCACGACCTTCGAACTGGGCCCCCCATGCCGAAGGGCCCCCCCCCCAAAAAAAAAAATACGGCCCACGGGGCTATATTTCGGTTGGTTTGAAGCTTGAGCAATTGGTTTGTCAATGCATGGTAAAACAATTATTTCGGTACCAGCTTAGTTTTCAAAACATATATATTTTTATGCTAGGCTGTTTTTTCTCAAATGCGACTGAGAGCCGGTACATATACCTAATCATCTAATTTATTACGTAAAACATTTCATTAATAAACATTTTTGCAGGTCCCTCAGAAATCAGCCCCGGGCAGCGACTGACTGCCGGCCGGCCGACCGGCCCCGGGTGGCTAGAAGCAGGGGCCGGTCACTGTTTGGCCCAGATGTGTAGGAGCGGGAGCAGCACTCCTTTTTCACGTATATTCGCATATTTTTTTAGGCACATCGACATGAAATGTGATTATATCTGATACGATGCGGGATCACAGACTAGAGATCCAGCTTATAACTTATATTTAATGCTTAACCAATGAATCAAATCAACAGGACTATGTACGATGCATGTCGGACACGTACCCAGAATTTCGCCCAAGAGGGGGTCACCTGCTGGTCACCTGACCCCGGACCCGCGAGTCACCCGGGCGCCCGGGGTCAGCTCAGGCAAGGATGTACCCAGGACCTTTCGATGGGAGGAGGGAGGCACGGTGGGTCCAGTCTCACTGGCAGACGGGTCTCTTTAAAACGGTCTTTGCATGAGAAAATGTGGAAAATTGGCAAGCAAAAGTCTCATTTATGCCCGAGGAGTGTGCCTAATGTACACTAATGCCTAATTTACATGGTATTTTACGAGCGAGCGAAGCGAGCGAGCTCCTCAGAGTCACCGGTGTGTGACGCGTTCAGAGGTGCCAGTGAAAGGCCGTCAGATGCGCTGGTGTTGGGTCCTCACAGGCGCCGTTGCGGGGTCTTAGGGCTTAGAGACACTGGTGGGGCCATCATTGGCATGTGTGTGGCCCTGCAAAATGGCCTGCAAGTGGAAAGTGGCCCGTCATAGGCTGGCAAGGACACTCGGAGGCTGGTAAGAGGCCCTCAGAGTCACTGGAACGTGGCCCTCAGAGGCGTCGGTGTGGGGACTTTCAGAGCCGCCGATGTAGGCCCTTAAGATGCGCTGGTGGGGGTCCCTTGGAGGTGGGGCGAGGGGCCTCGCAGTTGCCGTTGTGGGTGCCTTTAGAAACACTGGTGTGGACCGTGTGTCTATCACAGACGGATGTGGAGCCATAACAGCCAATCCCTCGTTGGCCGTTACTACTTAGGGCCCTGAGCGGCCGGCGAGGTCTCTCAGAAACCGGCATTGGGCCTTTATGAAGAAAATTGTGGCTACATAGGAGCCAATAACGTCCCCCCACAAGCCCTGTGGTGTCCTTCCGAGTTGAAGTGCGGCCAGCGCGAACCCTCTGCTACCAACTGGCGCCGCAGGGCCCCTCGGTTTCGAAGGAACCCTAAACCCGAGAACGGGCACGTACCCCTTCGCTCCCTTGCTATGTCACTGAATCCAAGTGATGGGACCCTTTAGGTAATCAGGGGCGTTTCAGATGACCAGGGGTTTTCAATTGATCAGGGGCCCACCAGGTGACCATGGGCCCCTCTGGTAACCAGGCGCCCCTTAAGTAACCAGGGACCTCATCAATAACCAGGGCCCCTCAGTAAACGGGGGCCACTCAGGTAAGTGTAGGAGTCCCGCAGATAACCAGGGCCGGCAAGGTTTCTCAGGTCCGTTTTTTGACAAGGCTCTTATTGACTCAGGTGCGAGCCCTTTGCCATCAGCAGAGGGCCCTTTCAAGCTTTTTGAGGGCCGTTTAACGTCTCTGGAGTTCCCATTGAGGCCTTCTAAGGGCCCTTTGAGCAGTCGAGGGGCCTTTCAGGCCTTTTGAGGGTCTCTTGACGTCAGCTGAGGACCGTTGGACGCCAGCTGAGGATCGTTTTTGGGCCTTCTGATGGCCATTAAGGTCGTTCTCCACGGTACATGTTTTGCGCGTTTTTAATGACGTTTTAACGCTTTTTTGATGTTTTGCGAGTTTTTCATGATCGGGCGTTGATCTGTACCATTAAATTACACTGTGCCATCTCCACGGCGGAAGATTTGTCAAAAATCGAAAAACGCGTGGCTTCATAAAATCAAAAAACTGCAAAACTCGTAAAACGCGTCAGGTTGTGTCATGCAAAACTCGTAAAACCTTTAAAAAACGCAAAACTCTCATTTGTAAAAACGCTCGATTTTATCCAAACATTTGGATCGAATGAAAGTTTTCCGGTTTTTGACAAGGCTAAGAAGGCAATTCTTCTGCTATTAATACCATTTTACGGTGAAATGGATGCAATGGAAAGTGTGGAAAGCGATGAAACGCAATTTGATTCAGCCAATGATCATGGCAAGTACTCAGACAACCATACCAATAACTTCTGTTGCTATTGCGACGATGTGGATGTCAAATAATCCCATAGTGAGTCTATGGATAACAGTTATTACGATATCAGATCATTTCAGATAATTGATAATTAGGTAACTGATGTCATAGCGGTGATAACAATAGGGTAACGTGATGATACCCCTATAACTATCTTTACAGCGAAAATCGAGGGGTTAAAAGAAGCCGTGCGCCAGATACCTGCCCTGTGGGACAAGAGGGCCACGGCATACAGCGCACGAAGGGCGGAGAAAGATGTTCTTTCTCTGAAATTGAAATTGTTCTGAAATTGTAATTGTTCTCATTAGACTGACAAACTAAAACCGTAAAAAGTGAAAAACTCGCAAAACTCGCAAAAGCGTCTGTTAAAAAGCGAAAAAAGCGCAAAACTCTCGTTTGCTAAAACGCGTAAAAACCGAAAATGTTTACACGTGGAGACAGTACTTTAGACGCCAATGGATGACCCTCTGACACCAACTGGGGCCCTCTGACACCAGAGGCCTGTTTCACTAAAAACTTGCGATTACAAGTGTTTGAACTTTACAATTCATAAGTATTTTTGCAAACTATGTAAAATCGGATTTCACTAAACTTCATCATCAGCGGCACCTCCGATAAAAAGAGTTTGCAAAAAAACTTGTAAACAGTAAAAATGTTTTTAATCAAGAACTACAACATGTTACAGATATTGCTTCTTCTTATCAAATTATGTCTAGTATTCATGTCAAAAGATGCATGAATAAATTATAAATAATGATGCTGTTTCTAAATGGTATAAATGATAGTTCACAATATTTTATTATTGAAAGAAAATAACACCCAAAACATTTGACAGCAGAAGACTGTTGAATGCAATTATGGCGCACGAATAACAAAACATGACGATATTTATTTATTGCTCGTAGCTGGTTCATAGGGATTGTGGTAAGTAAAAAAGAGCATATAATGATTCCAAGGGCTCCGCCACGGACTTTTGGTTGGGGGGGACGGTCTGCTCTTCGCCCATCGCCCTAGTGTCTCCTCTAAACCTAGGGTACCCCCAAATCCAGTTTTCTCATCGGATTTAGGCCACATGTTTTTCGTCATAGCCCTGATACGATGATTTTTAACTAAAAAAAAAAAATAATAATAGAGAAATGATAGGCCATCTGACCTATGCAATATTACCCAATATTAGATTGCACCTTTATGATATTGACACATCAGACAGAAAAAAAAACTTGAAAAAACAAACTTCAATTTTTTAATGGTATCTGGCTCATAGTTTTGCGCTGAATCTGAATCCATTTTTAGCATTTGGCGAAGGTCGGGTCAGTTTAGGTGAGATCAACAAGTGCGTGTCCCGCCGGCTATTCAAAGAAGGTGTCAACGACCACAGACAGCTTCGTAACATGTTGCATTGGTACCAAAACTACTTCTCAATGTTCATATGTATGCTTAATTCGACATCATTTCCAAAAAGTTTCCTATAAAAGGAAACGCGGCGGGCGCGTTTCGGCGGTGGGCGCGGCGAGGCGCTGGGGCTGCCTCGCCGCGGCCACCACTCAGCGCTCCTCGCTGCTGCCGGTATCGCCCCTGCACATGAACTAATTCGGTCGGCATGCTTCCGAGCTGCAAGTGGTGCTCTGCGGTCCGAACACCGTCTCCAGCAGGCATTCCTCTCGGGCCTGACGAAGTTGGCCATGTGCCCCGATTTGCTTGGCGACTCTCTTCTTCTCCAACTGTCCCGCATGTGCAGAAACGACTTCTCTGCCGTGCTCGAGGCAGCTGCCGGACGGTCGTGCAGTCACAGGGTAACGCCATCGCGCGCCCCAGACGGACTGGCAGATAGCATCCGCTTCTTGATGAGGGACAACAGCCAAGCTTCGCGTCGCCTACTACGACTGCTGACCTGCTGCGTCCCACCGGGGGCCGTAACCCCTGTGACCTAAGCTCCTTGCTGACACATGACGGTTTTGTCATTTCTGATGATTGTTTGTTATCAGCTGTCGGGAATTTGCCAATGTTTGGTGCAAAATAAATATAAATGAATAACATGCATAACTCGAAAAAGTGAACCAAAGTCA